AGTGGCCATGTGGCCTCTAGGGCCCCTGTCCAGTTTGTGGGTCCCATTCGCAAACACATACTAGCTCCATGTCTTCTGAATTCACAACACTTTTTAAAAAAAAATTGTTTTTAAGCACAGTGTAAGACTTTCCATGTATGCCCATTAAATCTCATCTTGTTAGTTTTGGCTCATTGGTGGAAAGTGCCCGAATGTCTCTAATCCATCGTTTGCATGGCCAGGAGAGGAGATCAGGGCAGCTCTTTATATCCTCATAGTGATGGTTGACAAAGCCACATGCCAGGACAAGGCCTGAACACAGCCCCAAGGCAACCAGCAGCAATCTCCAGCCAGCTGACTACCAGGTCACCACGAACAACAGATTAATATCATCCTCAGGACAGTCATTTATCCAGCTCCTAAGCCACCCGGCACAATGTGCCCAGCTGTGTTTCTCCATTCTGCACAGACTGAGAGATGATCTAAAACCAACACCTTCTCGGATATTTATGCCTAATGTTTGGCAATTTTAAATGTGTTGCTGTTGATTTAAAGTGAATAGTAATTGACGCTGTCCCTTAAGTAATGTCTGGAATTGTTCCAGACAGAGAATCAGTGCTGAAGCTATTCGAGCCCTGAGATACCCCAAATAGAAACTCAGTGGGCTGTGTGTTTCCCCTGGCAACCGCCTTCGATCAGTGCCGGGAATGGGGCTTACACGCACAGTGCTCACTGGGTTGAGGGATATGGGCACTGTGATCTACTGCCCTCACTTTTAATTATCCTAAACTGGGAAAACGGACGTCTCAGCTGGCCAACCTGTCCCATAAAGCATTTTGATCAAAGATGTTGCCTCACAGAGCACCTGTCTGAAGAATGACTGGGGTGTCCGTGGGGATCCAGGGGACGTATGGCAGTTATAAAGCTCATCTCTGCAGCCCCACAGGCAGAAGGCAGGGCTGTGAAAGATGCTTCTCTGGGGGAGCTTTTGCTTCTTTAAACATTCAATTATGGCTCCACAAACACAGGTTTTAAGTGAACAGCAGATCTCTGCACAAATTATGCGTGCTAGAAGATAAATAAAATAGATGATCTGAAATAGAGATTGAATGAAAATTCAGCTCTGCTCCTTGTAGAACTGGTTTACAGGTTCTGAGAAGGGATGGTCAGGAGACTCTCTTTCAGTATTAGTTCTAGATTACAGATGTGCTTTTTAGGGATGGGGACACTTTTGTTTGGGTTTTAATTTCTAAGCAGGTTTTCAATTAAAACAGATTTCTGGGTATTCAAGAACTCACTTTCTTGTCTTTGTACGTGACTGGAGGCTTTCTGAAGGCCTGCCACCGTATTTTTCTCTTTTATAAATAGTGACTACTTTGACTTCTCTTTTCAATCATTATCAAGTTTTCACCATATTTTTTCCCTTCAAAATAAAAAGATTTCTTCTTAATTTGAAAAGTAATCCATTTTTGTTGTCAAACATTAAGACAACAAACATATAGCAGAGACATGTATCATGTGTCTAATTGTAAAATAAAAACTGAGTACCATGTAAATTATTTTCTAATATAGATGTTCAGGTTGATTATACTCGTTTTGTTTTACAATGTCATTTTTAATTACTGCATAGTATTCTGTCTTACAGCAGAGCCATAGTTTTTAACCAATGTCTTCCTATTAGTATATTATTATTCTGATAGTAGATAAACATTTTACTGTACTTATATAATTATAGAAATTTCATTATCTCCAAGATATCACTATTCATTAATAGATGTGATTTTTTTTGCCACTCCTGAGGCTTGAACTCTGGGCCTGGGTACTGTCCCTGAGTTTTATTTGCTCAAGGTGAGCACTCTACCACTTAAGCCACAGTGCCACTTCCAGCTTCTTTGAGTAGTTTATTGGAGGTATGAGTCTCATAGATTTCCCTGTCCAGGCTGGCTTTGAACCATGATCCTCAGAGCTCTGCTGCCTGAGTGGCTAATATTACAGGTGTGAGCCACCATCACCCAGCATTAAATCATTTTTAAAAAGTTGTTATGCTTGGTAAATTGAGGGGATGAATGGGTTTAGGATGAATAGGAGAGAATGATAAAAGGGTGACATTGACCTAGATGCTTTGTACTCACATACTGGCATGCTGAATTGAAAGCTCTTCATACAAATGCTTATGATAATGAAACAAACACCAAAGTATTTGGAAATTTTCATTTTTTAAATAGTAATACTGGCACACTCTCATTTTGAAAACCTTACTATTAACAGAATAGAGACTTAAAACTTGGTACAAGGAGAGATGGGATGTAGCTGAAGGGTAGAGTGTTTTCATAGCACACACAAGGCTCTGGGTGTGATCCCCAGCAAGGAATAAAAAATTAGTACAAGCTGCATATGTCAAATAAAGCAACAGAACATCTTAGGAACACATTCAATACTCTGCATCTATTTTTACAATTTAGGCTGACAGAGAGGTTAAGAAGGTTGAAATAAATGGAGAAGAGATAGTTTTATGTTTTCAACTTGTCTAATTTTCGGATTATCTTAGAAAAGGCCCAGGATTGGAAGGGAACCTGTTAAAATGCTATTTTAAAAAAATTAGTCATTGTCGGGCTGGGAAAGTGGCTCAGTGGTAGAGCGCTTGCCTTGCATGCCTGAGGCCCTGGGTTCGATTCCTCAGCACCACATAAGCAAAAAGAAAAAAGCCGGAAGTAGTGCTGTGGCTCAAGTGGTACAGCGCTAGCCTTGAGCTGAAGAGCTGAGAGACAGCGCCCAGGCCCAGAGTTCAGGCCCCACGACCACACCCCCAAAAAATGAGTCATTGTCGAGTCCACAGCATGCATTAGACTCTGCAGCAGTAGAAGGTAACTCATCTGCAGCGGGACCGTGACAGATATTGAAGCTGCTGTACGCCCTCAGGAGAGCCAGCGGGGCTCTAAGCAGTCATCTCCCCACAGAAGGACAAGCCCACTCAACGTGGAGGTGAGGGACTTGGAGAGGAGACTGCCCAGGGCCTGACTGCAACATCCACTCGAAAGACCAACAACCACAGCCTGGTTTACCACAAAACAATCAGCAATACTAGCCGGGATAACACTTTATTTTATTTTATTTTTGCTCCTCTCTCCTCTGTAGTATTTAATTTTTGGCTGGGGCATGTATTCACATTATAGTAAAAAAGAAATAAGGATTTTATTAAGTCTATGTCTGCTCTCTGGTCATAACACTATCTGTGGAGCTTAGGACCTGCCTTCCCAGCTCTGGGCAGCACTTCACCTAAAAGCCAAACAGTGGAAGTACTTGCCAGACTAAAACTTGTGACCCAGTCCTAACAACAGACAAGTAGCATGGCTGGAAGTCCTCCTTTTGTTCTTTCAGAGAACACCTACCTAGTCCATCCACTGAGCTACTTTCAAAACCAACAGCAATGTACAAAAACACCAATGTCCCATAATATTCTTATATGAAAGAAATAGAGAAAGACCATAAAAATACATGCTTTCCTAAGAGAGGCATGTCAAAAGCAATACACCGTTTTCTGTTCGGATTTCAAATTATTCAACACATGTGGCCAAATCTCTATGCAAATATTACCCTGTCAAAGCTAAAGCACATCGCTTATTTGCTGTTTCCAAAGCTTTTGATCCATTTTATGGGAAAGGGTATGGCTATAAGAAGAAATATGAAGAGGCAGGTTGCAGATCACCAGCAGAAGGCCAGGGGATATTACACACACTGATTTAAAATACACTGTGACATTCCAGCCAGAATGTCAGCAATGGCTGTCAACTGCCTCTTTGGTTTGACTTGCTTTGTAGCCCCAACTCACACCTTGATGCCAAGAAGTGATCCCATTTCTTTCTATGGAGACTCTGGTTTTGTGACCATATGCCTGGGAGGCTACTTTCCGAGAAGCCTTCCCTAGCTATGATGTCAATTCAGCAAAATTCAACTTTTCACCAGTGTGTGACGAAGAGAGCCATACTACTTAAAGAGGAAAACTACATCTTTATTCTTTTCTGTATGAAAATAGGGTTTGAACTCAGGATTTTGTGTTTGGCAGGCAACTACTCTACCACTCGATCCATGCCTCCACCCCCTTTTGCTCTGATTATTATTACTATTATTGATAAGGTTTTGGCCAAGCTAGCATGGATGGTGAGCCTATTTTCACTTATCACACAGCAATATGCCACCATGCCTAGCATTTTTTTTTCTGTTGCAATGGGGCAGGTCTCATAAACTTTCTGCCTAGGATGGCCTCAAATTGTGATCCTCCTGACCTCATCTCCCGAGAAGCCAGAATTACAGATATGAGCCACCAGCACCTGTATTGACTGATTCACTCTAACACCACTCCTTTGTGGGAGTCTTTGTTACCTCTAGTACTAAACAGCTGGTGATGAAGGATCCTGAGAACAGTGGTACCTACCGTTGGGAGAGCCAGGATAAAGAATGGCACTCGTGGAAGATGTTTTCATTTGTACCTTGAGGCTGATACCGTTTCTACTACGCAATAATATCCACACGTTTGAGAAAAAAAATGTAACCTCATTTTCTATAAATTTACATATTCTTTCAGAAAGGGATTAAACTTCTAAATACAAAGGTAAAAATGAAGTTTGTATCACTGGAGGCAAACTTTGAAAGACAAAAGAAAACTCAATGTTTCCCAAGAGAAAAGAGTTTCTATGTATTTGAAAGCTACCCTCTCTGATTATGTCAGGAATTGTCAAAAGTCAACTAATTATGGGACACTTGAATAAACAGAAAATGCTTTAAATTCTCTTCTTGAGAAAAAGAAACTTGGGAACTATCAAAAACGCTACTGGGTTTTCAAGTTCTTTTTAGTTTAGTTTTGTGTTAGAGTGACACAAGACTTTATTTCTCCAGATTTAATTTCAGCATCCAATGTGAATCTGGATTACAAATCTAAGCATTCAGTTCTGTTTCTCTGCATGTTGACATATACTGCACCTTGCTCCTATGGTACAACAAAAACAAGAATGAACTTGACTTACTCATTTCTTTCCAGGTGTATGATCAGTTCTCTGCTTTCCAGTTGTAGTCGAATGCTCAATGATTCTGGATGATCCTGAAAGATAAACCAGAAGAGCCAGCTGAAAAACACTGGGCTTTGGCTTGCCAATATTGCAGACAGAGTCCGCAGAGTGAGAGAAAAATACATTTCTTCTTGGGAGCGTTCTGAGACTCTAAGTCTAGTAGTCCAGGGCAGGAGCTAGAAAGGAGACACCTGACCCTGTAAACTTTAGGCTCTTTGCCTTTAACCACACATCCTCCAGTCACCTTGGTCTCAGTCCACTCCATCCACGCTGTCCTCCATCTCTGGCCCTACAAAATGCACTGCCCATGCCTGAACCATGAGTCACTCCTGGGACCTCCTACTCCATCACCTGTCCTATGGATTGCATGGAAGTCCCTTACCATCCTTGGAAGTTCCTAGTCTTTACTCCAGCCCCACCCCACTCAGCAGCCTGAGAGAAGCACAAGCAGGAAGGTGGGGGCGTGGTTCTGGTGGAAGAGCATCTGAGCATTAGTTCCTGGGGTTGGGATCCCGGTGCATCGGGGAGACTTCGGGCCATTCCATGGAGCCAGTACCACAGCCTGGCAGGCGCCTGGATCTGCTTCACAGGCCTGTAACCACTGTCCAGTGGAGACATCATGGTGGCCCCACATTCAATCGGAGGGGGCTGCGGCTGTCATGGCTTTGTCTGCCTTTGCGTTTATGTTGGGTAAGAGCAAACGGGACAAGATACTTACAGGCGATTTTCTAATATTGCATTGTTTGAAATATGCTGTTATTACTCCAGAGCGCAAGATGTTTTCACAATATACTGTTTGAGCTGTATTGTGAATGAACTAGCCACGTGTTATACTTCCAGACAAAACAGATCAGAAATGCAAAATACTGAACATTAAAATAATTAGTTAAAATGAAGCAATTCTTTTTCAAACCCACAATAGCTGAAGTCACATGAGCTTTGAGGAAATAACAAAGCATTTAACGAAGGACACATTACACTAAAGGCTCAAAAACGTGTTTTTATTATTTGTTTGTTTTTTGGGGCTGGGAAGGTGGCTCAGTGGTAGAGCTTGCCTTGCATGCATGAGGCCCTGGGTTCGATTCCTCAGCACCACATAAGCAAAAAGAAAAAAGCTGGAAGTGGTGCTGTGGCTCAAGTGGTAGAGTACTAGCCTTGAGCTGAAGAGCTGAGGGACAGTGTCCAGGCCCAGAGTTCAGGCCCCATGACCGGACCCCCCCAAAAAAAAACCCCACTTTTTTGTTGTTGTTGTTATTTTTTTAGGACAATGCTCTGACATCCAGTAGCCTTTTTATGTCTAATCTAGTAGGGGTTAGCCATGCCGAGCTATTTAAAATTAAACTAGTTAAAACAAAATTGAAAACTTAGATGCAAGGAGCAGCAACACGTGCATATGCATAAGGGTATGTAAGCAAAGCACTATGGGTTGCTGATGAGGGACAGGCTGGGGAGGTGGGAGGGAAGGGAGTGGGAGGGAAGGGAAATGGGATGGAGAAGAGGAGAAAGGGACAGGGGAAGGACAAAAGGAGGGGAGAGGGAGATGTAAGAGGGAGGGAGGATAAAGTCCCAAACTTCATTTTCCAACTGCTGACCAAGTAACAGATATTATCAACACTGGTGCCCAAGACTTACTGTGTGTCTTAAAACGATGATGTCTCAATTTTAATGGATAGATATTATTTTAAATATTTTAAAATTATTTTAAAATTAAATATTTTAAAATAATATTTTACTAAAGCTTGAGGATTAACTGGTGAATTTCTATACACATAGAGAGCTCCTGTGAATGTTCTGGGTTTAAGCAGGTTTTGTTTCTTATGAAGTCATTCTAGTAAAAGACTAAACTAACACAGTTCTTAATCCACATAGCTTGACAATGTCTTGTTTTTGTAAGAACTGCATGAATTTCTGAGTGTTAGCTGAACTTTAAAAATGAGCATTTCTGATCAACCTGATGTAACATCAAATGCATCATTTGTTTGCTTCTATTTCTGAATCTTAGATGATTTAAAGGCAAATATTTGTACATTGTTCTCTGCAGGGTTCTCACTATGTACTCATTAGTTCTATCTTAGAAAGACAAGAAGATTAATCATGTTTACAATAAAATAATAAAAGAGAAATGTCTTCATATCCTATCAAGATGCACCCAGACACCACATGTATGTTATCTTTGCATGTATAACTATACCACATGCACCTGGATCTTTGCATGTACCCTGGTTGTTTTACATATGTTTGAACATAGATCTTAGTTCCTTTTGTTACCAATTATGTTTGCCTAAGATACTGACACACACCTATCACCGTCATAAGGAGAAATCCTGACAAAGTCTTTTTGTGAGAAAAACAAAAAGCTAGGGCTGTGGTAGAGCGTATGCTTAGTATGCACAATGCTCTGTGTTTGGTATTTCACATCACCAATAAACAATGAAACAAATCTGCCGTACCTCTTTGCCCAAAATAATTAATGTAGTTTAAATATTAACTTTGGTACCAGCTCTCCAGAAAGCCCCTTTAAGAGCTTTATAACAGTTCAACATCAACATCTTTCAAAAGAATACAACTTCTGTCTTGGGTTAAGGGGGAAGAGGATGTCTATGTGCATATTTTAGTGGAGGCAGAGCTGTACAGGAGAACTCTATTGGACAGGGAGAACAGACAACTAGTTTAATTCAAACCCATTACTACTTCCAGTAGCCATTTTCATTTAAAAGCATGTATTTTGTTCCCTTTTCTTTTGATTGTAATCCACGGGAGATAATGATGAGCCAGCCTTAATGGAACACAGCACCACTTCTTCTCAAAAAATGATATACTGATTACCCTAACGGAACCTGGCCCTCTGTTGAATGCTTGAAGAACTGCAATTGCTGAGTGAGTCCATTAAATGCTAATCAACAGGCCAGAAATGTTTAGGCAGTAATCATCATTTCATCTCTTAAATTAGGGGAAGTACATCTAAAAGGATATATAAAATGCATCAGTATGATTTTTTAAAAGGAAACTATAATAAGGTAATCACCAGGCTACTTGTCACTGGCCGAATCTGTAAAGTTATCATCAGAACCTTAGCATCTCCTGTGTCGGTTCGCTGCGCTGTTAGAAGAAAAGGACACAGTCCAGGTGACTCATTCAACAGCAACAGACTTCCTCAATCTTCTGGAGATTACAAGTCTTAAGATCAAGATTTTGAGGTCTGCTTTCCAAAGATGGCCTTCTTGCTGTCTGTCTCCGCAGTCATTTGCATGTCCTAATCTTTCTCTGTGAGGACACCAGCCTGACAAATCAGCTCAGCTCACCTAACTACCTCTCCACAGGTCCCTGTCTCCAAACACGGTCCTAACCCAGTGGGGGATAGGTCTCAGTGTATGGATTGGCAGGGTCAGACCATAACACTCCTTGTGTTGGATTGACTCTTCCATTCCTCGCTCCTCACAGAGCTAACTCAGACCCTGCCTTTCTTATGAATCATGATCTTGATTTCCCTTATAGCTTTTCTTTCTTTCTTTCTTTAGATTTTGTTGGTCATGGGGCTTGAACTCTGGCTTGAGTGCTATCCCTCAGCTCTTCAGCTCAAGGTGAATGCTCTATCGCTTGAGCCACAGCCCCACTTCCAGTTTTCTAGTGGTTTATTGGAGATAAGAGTCTCACAGACTTTCCTGCCCGGGCTGTTTGAACCATGATCCTCAGATCTCAGCCTCCTGAGTAGCTAGGATTACAGGCATGAGCCACCGGCACCAGGCTGGTTTCTTTCTTTTTTTAACTGGAGTTTGAACTTAGAATCTTGAGCTTGCTCTATCTCATGAACCATGTCTCCAGTCCTTTATGCTTTAGTTATTTTTCAAAAAAGGGTCTCACTTTTTTGTCTAGATCAGCCTGGGTTGAGCTCTTCCTGTTTCATTTTACACATAGCTAGCATGACAGGCACATACTGCCTCACCCACTTTTTATTGGCTGAGATGGGGTCTCATCAGCATATCCCTGTGGGTGTGCTGGCTTTGAAAACCCATCCTCCAAATCTCAGCCTCTGAAGTAGCTAGGATTATAGGCATGAGCCCCCCCAATCCACTTTCCTTTCTTAATTTATTCCCAGTATGTATGACTGTGTCTATGTATGAATGGATGTATTTGTTGCATACCTGCCGGTATGTATGAATGCATCTACATATGAATGTATGCATATATGTGTGTGAATGTGTGTCTGTCTGTATGTATGTGCATATGGAATTTTAAACAATATACTCTTCAGTTTTATCCAGTTTTGAGTGTCCTCTCTTGTTCCTTTTGGTCCTTGGTTCTCTTTTCTATGGCTGAGTTGTATCCACTCTCATGTATTTGTGCATTCGCACCTGTGGCTGCATGTGGCTGCTAGCCATTTCTTTTCACTGTTTGCATATTCTATCAGATGAACACTTGAGAGTGTTCTACGCTAGACAGATGCTCGTGGGTTTTCCCCATCGCCCCTCCCCCCCATGGCTCCACTGGTTCTCATGTGCACCTCCAGATGTGGATTTCCACCTGGGATGAAGCGGGGTGGGGCAGTGCCTAGATGCTTGGCTAGCACTCTTCCAGCTGTTTCCCAAAGTACCAAGAGATGACAACAAGCCCAGGTGTTCCTGCACCTCCACGTGCTGACGCCTATCTGTCTGACATGTTCAGGCAGGCAAACAGATCTGCTGAGTATAAAATTGTACCTAACTGAGGATTTAGTGATCATCGCTTTCTATTAACCCCTCCCCCATTAGAATAGGCAGAGCGTCTCCTGTTCACAGGACACTTGATTTTCTTCGTCTGTGAAACTCCTGAGCAGGTATTTGAGGGGCCTGTCCTCCCTCTTCTCTTTTGGTCTTGCTCATAGCAATTCTTTCTTTCTTTCTTTCCCTCTCTCTCTTTCTCTCTTTTCTTTCCCTCCCTCCTTCCCTCTGTCCCTCCCTCCCTTCCTCCCTTCCTTCCTTCCTTCTTCCTTCCTTCCTATCTGTATTTGGGATTCCATTTCTTTGCCAGTTATATGTGTCACAAAGACGTTTTC